ATTATTATTATTATTATTATTATTTGGCCTTGCATAAATAAAGAATTGGGCAACCACCAGAGAAAGCTTTGTTGAAGATAGTAGCCTAAATCGTGTTTGTCCCAACTAGAGTAGACCAATTAAGTGGGCTTGCTTTGTTTGGGTCTAAAGATGTAAATTTTCTGAAAATGAAGCTATGGTGGGGATAGTTTATCTTTCTTCATAAAAAATGGCAGTTTTCAGAAAACCTTTAAAATGCAATGGAGTAATCTTTGCAGATTAAAAGTATTACTTTAAGAATATCAAATGCATTATGTATAACTTGGCTTGGCATTAAATTATCATATTCCATATATTAAAGATACAGTTAATTCATGAAATAATTACAAATTGGATTTACTTTTTACAGTTGGAGACTCCCTTATCCAGAATTCCAAAATTCAAAATACTCCCAAAATCCATAATTGTCCACATGGGTGGCTGAGATAGTAACTTTCTGATGGTTCAGTGTCCACAAACTTTGTCTCATGCACTAAACTAATAAAATATTATATATAAAATTACTTCAGGCTATGTGTATATATGGTGTTAACAAAACATAAAAGAATTTCATGTTTAGACTTGAGTCCCATCTCCAAGATATCTCATTATGTATATGTTAATATTCCAAAATTTGAAAGAGTCTGAAATCCAAAGCACTTCTAGTCTCAGCATTTTGGATAAGGGAGAATCAGCCTCTATCATTGTTATAAATGGAGTTACAAAGTCATGAATTGTAAGGAACACTTTTAATCTCTTTTCTCTGGCAAATTTATAACACAATTTATAAGGCAAAAAAGGAAATAATTAAAAATAAAAAAAATCAACAACTCTTGTAATCTGCGGGATTACCATCTGCGGCTCTTGTAATCTGCGGGATTGCCATCTGCAGATTTGAGCTTCCGCGGACAGCAAGCCCTGTTGTTGTGAACAGAGGTGCATGGAACTAACAATTGGATTAGGGCCAGTGATTTTGGGTGATTAGAAGATATTTATGTTCTTCTACTCCTGAACTTTTAAACTTTAATTATCAAAATGTAGAACTTCCATTTCAAATTCTAAATAAAACTCAGAAAAAAGAAGTGGCAGTAAGAAAAAGACAACATAACCAACTGCTAGTAAGACTGGCAAAAGAAAAGAAAAAGAGCAATATACATTGGTGTTTTCTCTACTTTGTATACTCATAAAGTGTACTGTAAGGTTCCACTAGAATGCAATTCAATGTTATAGTTAAGAAGATGATATAAGCAGAGAAGTGGCTGTAGGTAACACTTTGGCAATCCTTCAAGGACCTTTTTAAATTACAGGACACCTGCAGACCAGTACTGATAGGGTATAAAGGAAAAAACAAAGGGATAACTTTCCTTCTATAGAGTAGTCTTTGCCAAAGCAAACAGAAAGAAATTGAAAGCTTTTGGAAAAGAACTGGAAATGGAGATACAGTGCTAAGAGCAAGAACTATACAAATAAATGACAATGTTAGTGATGATAACAGTAATAACTGTGTATATCTTATATTCTGGTAATTACATTAGTGCTAAAGCCCAAAGGATGTTTAATTTTATGATATAAATGTAAACATTCCTAATATCTATGGCTATAGCAAAGAGCTTAAAGTCAGTGTCTGGTTAAACATGAAACTGGTAGGTAGATCTGCAGAGCTTGTAATCATCACAGATAAAACATGTCATGTCCACCCTTGCAATAAAGTTTAAGCAGAATTTTACAATGGTGTTCGCTTACCAGCAGCACCTACGACAGGGAAACACACCTGTGTTATGATATTGTCTTGTTATACAAACCAGTTGAGGGCAGTGGGAAGAAATTACATCATATAGCAGACATTTTTTACAGCAGCAGCGCCTTTTGTTCCACTCTCATGATCAAACTTCACCTTTTGGATTGCCCTGTATTTCTATACAGTGGAATTTAACAAGATAATAAAGTTAATTATTGTTCTATTATGTTTAATGCAAAGTTTCTGCATGTGTGGGCTGATAATAATGTGTAGGTGAGATAAGGATATGCATCCTTTATGTACATGACCATTTAAAGCATTTGCAGTGTTTTGAATTATAGTTGGCTCTCCATATCCACAGATTCTGCATCCATGGATTCAACCAACCACTGCTCCAAAATGTTTTTTAAAAATTCCAAAAGCAAACCTTTGAGTTGTTCACCATTTTGCTGCACCATTGTATATAATGGAAGTTGAGCATGGGGGTCCTGGAACCAAACTCCAACAGATACCAAGGAGCCTCTCTATCTTGATAATCTTTTATAAAATTCTTATAAATTAAGCCAGTTTTATCATTGCTGTTCTGATTGACAAATAAATAAATCATTTTTTTCTAGGAGAAGATTTTGCTGTTGTGCAGCAGGAAATCATTATGATGAAAGACTGTAAGCATCCAAACATTGTGGCTTATTTTGGCAGCTATCTCAGGTATAATTTTTATGGTGTATTTTATTAATTTAAGAATTCTCAATGCTTGCAAAAATAAAAGACCTTTCATGACCCTGAGTGGGGAGTGGATTGGGTAGGGAATTTAGCAGTACCAGCTTTTAATTAACTGTGGCATCCTGGACTCCCTAGGGAGTTGATGCTGTCTGCTTTTTCATATCCATAACAAATTACTTCAGATTCCTTGGCTCTTGCTGCTGTGATTCTACACTGGACAATTTAGTGCTTGTGCTGGAAATGACTTTGCAGACTTTGTTCCCATCCCCATAGACACCTGCCTTTGCTTTCTTACTCATCCAGTCTTTGCATACTTTGTTCCCCCAGTCATGATGGGTAATTGTCCTACAGAATCAAGAAGGATGAGGATGGGACATAGTCTAGGAAGATTGAGGAGTCAGATGGATTCTTGTGGCCTGAAAGTCCAGATTATCCTTTTAATCTAATTAAAAAATTAATCTGTTAGTGACACTGATTAATGAATTAACGCTGCCATTCCTGGATTGAACAAACCCTTACTACTCTCCCATTCAGTACTTTCTCTGTATTCATTTCCCTTAAAAGCTGGTTGGAGTGTTGGACTATGAATCTGGAGGCCAGGGTTTGAATCCTGGCTCAGCCATGGAAACCCGCTGGGTGACCCTGGGCAAGTCACACTCTCTCAGCCTCAGAGGATGGCAGTGACAAGCCCCCTCTGAAGAAACATGCCAAAAGAACCCTGTGATAGGTTCGTCTTAGGGTTGCCATAAGTTGGAAATGACTTGAAGGCACAGAACAACAGCAGGGGCCAAGCCATTCATGTCTTGCTGTTTTCTGGAAGACCAGGTTGGCAGCATTCTTCCTGGTAGAACTTCTTCACTTGGCAAGCAAAAATTTAACAGGTGAAGCTGTTCCTGCTATTGAGTTG